ATCCTTTAGAGATTTTGGTCCATATTGACATGACAGCATCACACAGTTGCTGCAGATTTGTCACCTGCACATCCATGATGTAAATCTCTACTTCCACCACATTTCAAAGGTGCTCTATTGGATTGAGATTTGGTGACTGTGTACGCAGTTTGAACAGAGTGAACTTATTGTCATATTCAAGAAACCAATATGAGGTGATCTAAGCTCTAGTCTTCTATTGTTCAACTTGCCTGTAGGAACTCTTATCTGACAGTAGTGGCACCCGGTGTGGTCTTCTGCTGCTGTGGCTCATCTGTTTTAAGGTTTGACGTATTGTTTATTTAGAGATGCTGAAAGAAGTCTGGTTTGTCACCTCTGACCTGTGGTATCAACATGGCATTTTCACTCAGAGAACTGCTGCTCAATGGATATTTTCTGTTTTTTCCCAACCATACTCTGTAAACCCTAGAGATGGTTATGTAGGAAAATCCTAGCAGATCAGCACCTTCTTAAATATTCAGACCGGCCCGTCTAGCACCAACGACTATCCCATTTCTTCCCCATTCTGATGATTGGTTTAATCTTCAGCAGGTAATCTTGACTTTGTCTACATGTCTAAATATGCTGAGTTGCTGCTATGGTATTGCTATTGTCTGATTTTGGTATTTGCATTGGCAAGCAGTTGAACAGGTGTACATAATGAAGTGACCGGTGAGTGTAGATGAGTGTAGATATGTTTACTGAATTATGACCAGGTAAATTATGTATGAAATATAGCCGTCTACACACAACATTATCATATGACTCTGTGTCTACAGCACAGAAAATGTAACTAGCTGGTCTCAGTGTCTGAATATGAATTAAAGAAAAGTTTATATTTTTAGCAAAATAGCAGGAAAATAAAGATAAATTTGATTAACTTTTATTACTAATGTAAAAGGGTATAATATAATATAATATAATATAATATAATATAATATAATATAATATAATATAATATAATATAATATAATATACTGTATAAAAACTGTATAAAATTCCAACACGTATTTTTTACGTAATAAGCCATCACCGGTAATTGACTTTAGATCATTAAAACTACATGACCCAGAATGCAGCACTATTGTTACGCATGGGGTCCGCGTCGCGCCGGGCAGGGGAAAAATTACGACTTTGCGCATGCGCCTCATCTATGTTGTTGTTTGTGGCGGTAAGATGGCGGCGCTCGGAGATACCTCAGCTCCGGGGGTGAACGGGTTAATACAACAATTCACAGCAATAACAGGTAAAAATAACATTTTAATTAGCGTTTATTTCACTCAGTGGATTTTTGTGCTCATATAGGAGCACTTCCCTCGCCGGGTAAATCTTGAAATCCGTGCGCAGATGAGAAAACGGGCGTTAAGTGTTGCTCTTGCTCCTGCGCTGCCAGTGGTTTGCAGAGGGGAAAAAGCACAGGCAGTTATCAGCTAAACTCAAGTGAAAGACTCGGAAAATGAACCTTAAAGCCGCCAGCTTTGAAACTTATTTTTAATCATCACTTAAAAATATCTGCTTTTCTTATTAGTGCTCGTTAAAGACACAGTCTCGCTAACCTAGAGCGGTTTGTATGCTCTTTTTTTGCGTGGCGTGTTGCTCGATAATGTGGAATGGAGGTCGGCTGTTCAACATTTCCCTTCTTCATCACCACCAGCCAGACTTCATGTTGTTGCTGCCACTATGCCTCTGATTGTGGCCCCAGACACTATTTATTGGTCACAACCTGAGGACTCCGAGTCTCAGCGCAGACACTATCTATAGTTTATCAGCACTTTGACACAGTGGACGGTGTTTTTTAAGTTATTAAGCGGCAAAGAATAGGGAGACTCTGTTAAGGGGCTGCTACTTTATACGGACATGCGCAGTACAGACCAGAATTTCATCGTCGCCCCGCGGCACTCCGCTTATAAATCAGGTTCATTCAGATGTGGAGTGTCCACTGTCACGACGTTGTGGACTCTCGCCATGTGTGTCATAAAGGCTTTTTGCATTGTTCAGGGTTTTTTTTCCCCCGCACATTTCCGTTTATTTACCAAACATCGCGTGGTATATGCGGAGCATTTCCGCCCACTAAACCTTTTCTGAACTGAAACTGAACTATCATGCGGTTGTTTGACTTTAACTCATTTCACTATAGTGATAAAGCGTTAGTTTAAGATGTGCTTTATTTGTCCTAAAAGTTGGGGAAACTCAGTTAAACAAGTAAAGCATTTTTTCCCCATTTAAAATCAAAATAAATATAAAAGGTAAAATAAATGTGTCCATTGTCAAAGTAACATGTGGTTGCTTCTGTGACCACATATACGGAAAAACAAGTAATCAAATACTAAGATATTCCCAAGTTACTAAGTACTACTAGACTATGTTGTCACAGGATAATAAATAACATTTAATCCCTTGAGTGAATAAAACACGTGTGTATGTACTCATAATGTTTAGTGAGCTGGTTATAACTTTACTTTGGGCCTTATGTGGAACAGTTATAGCATAACACAGTGAAGTTTGAACATTTAAGAATTTTTAATGAGGTCAGTGTTGCTGTTTGCCAACCTCTGTGCTTTGCTTTCACCCAGTTATATGATTTTATTCATACTGCTGACAGTGTTGTGAAATTATTGGTAAGGTTTGCATAAAGCAGAAAAAAAGACTTAATCCAGTGTAATAGAAAAGAAAAAGCGGACAAAAGGTTCACTGTCACGAGTTTGATGTGATGCTGGTGACACCTTGGTGCATTGGTTAGTACCGCTTTGGAATCCATCCTTGGTACTTCAGCTTCCTCTAATAGTTCAAAGACATGCTTGTTTAATGGTGATACTAAATTAGCTCTAGGTGTGAATGTGATGGTGAATGTGCCCTGCCTTTTTATGAAACTTGGGATAGGCTCCAGCCTTATGTGACCTCACAAGTGGAAGATGGATACCTAGACTGTGATATACCACTCTCAGAAAAACATGAGCATTGTAATATAGCAAGTAGGGATTGAGGAAAAAATTGATAGAGAGATGATGATATTTTGTGTAGTGATGTTGTGTGAATACAGGGACACTAAATATTGATATGGTATTAAACAAGTTTAAATACCCTGGGAATACTGCAAACAAGGGGGCTGATCTAATGCACCATCATCCCGAGATAACATTAGCCAAGCAAAATTAAACTAAATCAACTGAACTGAAAAACTATCTAACACTGGTGACACTTAGCTTGGCAAAGTAACTACCTAATTCACAGCTAATGGCTAACTCAAATGAGTAAAAATAGGACAGTGGTTTCCTTGCATATAAAAATAATCGGCTGTATTTAATATTTTTCTATTCTGTAACCACAACTTGTGCTAACTAAATGTTTATGGCATTGGTGATTGCACGGGTTGCCTGATAGGTGGTAACTTTTCTGCAAACAGTAACAGTCTCACCTGGACTGACTGCAGTCAGCTTCAGAGAGTTTTGGAAGTTTATGAATAATTGCGTCTAATTTATTCTTGTAGACCGATTGCTAACATGTTGCCATCGGTCTGAATGAGTCGTGAGCACAGCTCGAGGAGGACTGAACTGGCTGCTCACTGGTTGTATTCTGGTAATATTTCTCACCCCAACTGGTTGCAGCAGATGGCCGCCTGGTTCTGCTGGAGGTTTCTTCCTGTTAAAAGGGAGTTTTTCTTTCCCACTGTCGCCAAAGTGCTTGCTCATAGGGGGTCATATGATTGTTGGGTTTTTCTCTGTATGTATTGTTGTAGGGTCTGCCTTACAGTATAAAGCACCTTGAGGCAACTGTTTTTGTGATATATTAATAAATTCAATTAAAGTTGAATTATGAACAGGAAGGTTGCTGAGTGTAACTGTTAAATCTTAATTTCTGTGTATATACACAGCAACAAATATGTGATTTTCAACAAATTGTCACAGGTAATTGCTGCATTAACCAAAATAGCCTGCATTTAGTTAACAACTTGACCCCAATTATTCACAGACCAATAGCAGACTTATGGCAACATTTATGGCAGTTTTTAGTGACAGTGTTGGTTTGCTTGACCGTCTTTTATAGCAAAAATATTAAAAAAAAATGTTTTATCACATTAATGTAATTAGGGCCTGGCCGATAAAGGGTTTTTTTTGTTTGTTTGTTTGTTTGTTTTTAGCACAGATACCAATATTTGATTTTCAGCCAATATTTTGTTTTGTTTAGGCAGTCAAAACAAAAAAATATTTGTGATGTGTGGTTATTTATGATTCCCTACTAACATAATATGACAATGCATTTTAAAAATAAACTTTTATTGTCATGAGAAGTGGTAGATTGCTCCTTGTACTCTGCCCAACTCTGCTTAGATTAAAGGTTGTTGTTTGCGGTGATTCAAAATTGAGTTGCCATCAGAAAAAAAGCCGAGTGCCCTCTAGTAGGCAAACTATGCAACGTCAACACTCATAACACGGTGGAAGTTCATTTCGTTCATTTTGACTTTATTCATTTTTATTTATCAGCATCTATGAGATACCCAATATGGATATATTAGCAAATACCTTATAGCTACTGGTTGAAAATATCGGTCAGCTGATATTCGGCTCTAAAATACAATGTGCCACTATGAAATTCTCAATGTTATTTGTTAATCTGCAAACATTTGTGAACGCATTGTGCTCATGGTTAGTGCCTAAATATCTAACTCTCTTCCAGGGGCCACAGAGAGCGTAGGAAAACATATGCTGGAAGCATGCAACAACAACCTGGAGATGGCAGTGACCATGTTCCTAGATGGAGGCGGGATTGCAGAGGAGCCCAGCACGAGCTCCAGTTCTGCAGCGTCAAGCAGCAGAGCGCCCTCTACAGAGTAAGCTGTGACTTTTCTCCACAAGCCTAGGTCAGACAAACGTAAAACAAAATCCACAGAGTTAGTTTGTCTGTTTTGGTCATGTTTTATTTCAAAAATGGAAACTTCTCTAATTTTCTGCTGATTGTTTATCCAAGCTTAGAATCTGTGTTTACCACAAGCTGACATGAGACGAAAAATAGCATTCGTTTCATTGCTTCCTTATCATACTAAATGTTGATTGTTTGTAATATGATTACAGATCTTTTACAGCTGATTGCTTTTCTACATAAATAACTCTGTATATGTTGCCTTCATGCCTTCCTCAGTGAAGTGCGGGCTCCAATTCCTCAGAAGCAGGACATATTGGTGGAACCAGAACCCCTTTTTGGAGGTATGTTGTTACTTTTATTTGTCAGTCCTGCTTAAGGCAAAGAAATCTTGATGTAAACTGCCAGCTGTCTGTAAAGATGATGATGATTTTTTTATTTGTTTACTTATTTATTTTTTTATTACATATGTTCAGTGCCAAAGCGAAGAAGACCTGCTCGATCAATATTTGATGGTTTCCGAGACTTTCAGACGGAAACAAGTGAGTATTTTCCAAAATGTACAAGTTAAAGCAAATCAAATGTGGTCGTGCTGTTTCCTAACAATCACCATTAAAAGTCTGTCTCATATTTCTGTTGTGGCATCTTAACTTCCAGTAATGACCGAATGAATGTTTTTCTGTTCCTAGTCCGCCAGGAACAGGAGCTGCGTAACGGTGGAACAGTGGATAAGAAACTGAGCACCCTGGCAGACCTTTTCCGTCCTCCCATTGAGCTCATGCACAAAGGCAGCTTTGAGACGGTGAGGAGTCACTCACAGGACACTGTACCCCACACCTTTATTCAGCCTGTGTGAACTTTCAGCCAAATTTTAGATGATGACTGAGTAGGTAGATGGTGAAAACCAGCAATGTCATGCTTCCTTGCTTGTGATCGCACACCGCTAATGCAAAAACCTGTTCCCAAAAAAAGTTGGGAGGACTAAAATTTGTGTAAAAGCAGATTGCAATAATTTGGCATAACACAAATTTGACTGTTTGTAGTGGAAGAAACAACATCAAATGCTTAAAATCAGAGATTTTCTCATCTTCTGGAAAGGACACACTATGTTTTTCTCACTAGTTTGACTGCTTTGAAGGGGCAGTTACTTCAAAACAGCATGGCCCCCACCTAAGGAAACACTGGGAAATGCTAGATGATATATACAGGTTTTAGGCCAAAATATGCCACCATTAAGAGGACTTTCCTTTTTCTAACTTTAGGGAGTTGGTGCCAAAAATAGATATTTATAATTTTTTAGAATATGTACCAGTATCATTTCCTAAATGTAAGCCAATACAAACAAAGACAGTAGAACTTTTAGCATAGTTTCAAAGAAAAATTAGATTTGATAAAAGTTCGACTTTATTTGACCTTGGAGAAGAGATCAGAGGTCAAAGTAACGTGATATTGAGAATCCCAAAAGATCATTTCTTACCAGTAAGAAACCTAGGTGGTGTCCAAATTCATGGGCTGCATCCTCCTGAGGACCTGGCATTCGCGGTCTACGTGGGCCGGGTCCTCAGAAGGTCGGGTAGGTCGGAAGTAAACGGCTGTGAAATCGGACGGTCTAGCCTTCAGATTTGCATCACCGCTGTCTCGGTGGAGTCTAATTAACTGTCTGCTCCTTGCTTTCTAAAATATAACAGGACACTGGTGTAAATTCTCGACCATCTCACACTTCTGTTTAATCAATTTTCTGTTTGACGTTTATTCAGCTGTGTGAAAACCAAGAAGGAAGCCACCCGGGGGAATTAATAAAGTTTTATTTTATCTAATCTAATAACTTTAATTTCAGCCAAACCAGATTTACTCACGAACAAATAAAACACTGAAAAAAGCCAAACAATAACATTTATAGGTTGTCTAAGTGACTTATATATTATGTTTAACCTGAGTAGCGAAAGACCATGGTGATCTGAAAATGATGTGCCGGGAGTTTGCCATTCTCGGTGGCTCTAGTGACCTAGCGGCTTATCTCCCGGTTAGCTATCGAGCTGGTGGATAACAGACGTCTCCGAAAACATCGGAGAACTTCTGCAAATATGTGATATCTTGATAAAGCGAGCAGATATTTGAAGTTTTAACTTAGTAGCGGCCGCCATTGTTGAAAACTGGAATTGGCAGGGCCGCGCTATGAATTCTGGTATATGGTGGGCCACGATGGATACACCCAACCCATCCTTCAAATTCGGGGAAAAGGAGGACACATTTGTCGGCTGCATTCGGAGGAGTCTACGAATTTGGACAGCCTTCGTCACGTCGCTGTGACGCAATTGGCCTACAAATGCGGCCTCAGGAGGGTGCAGCCCATGAATTTGGACACCTCCATAGTTTTAAATATCTCTATATAGAATTATTATCACTTTGACCTTCAGATCATTCTATTGACCTTGAAGGAGAGGTCAGAGGTCAAATGTGACATATTTTAAATCTTTATAAACTATTTTCTATATGTTGACAGTATTTATCACAATATTCAGAGTCACAGTCACTAAGTCTTCTAATGGATTGTTAACACGACCCCACCCCTAATTTTTATTCATCAGAATTTATACAAAAAAATTCAATAAAAATTTCATGTACACACAGAATTACACATAACGACACACAAGAATGAAGAACAGAATTTTTCGCTTTCAGCATTTGATTTGTAGTCTTTGAACTATTTCCAGTTGAAATTAAGGTTTCTGTTCATTGTAAATAATCTTTTTTCTTAGTTAATTTTATTATTTGTTCTCCACCAACCAAAAGATATGTTTTGCGTTTAAATCAAAACTTGCATACTTAATGATTTGCATCATAAAGTACATTTGTCTTTGTAAATTGTGAATTCCCTCTAATTCCATTTGTCTTTCTTTACGTTTATAGGCTAAAGACTGTGGACAGATGGAAAACAAATGGCTAATGATCAACATACAAAATGTTCAGGACTTTGCCTGCCAGTGTCTGAACAGAGATGTGTGGAGTAATGATTCAGTGAAGACCATCATCAGAGAACACTTCATATTCTGGCAGGTATGAGGTTTTAAGAGCGCAGTGTGGTGTTTTCTATGATGCATGGCGTTATTCGTAAGGGAATTTATTTAGTCCATCCATCCATCTACAATTTGGTAGTTAGGTGTTAGCACCATCATCTCACAGCAAGAAGGTCCTGGGTTTGAATCCATTGGGTAGTTCAGGCCTTTCTGCATGGAGTTTGTATGTTCTCCTTGTGTGTGTGGGTTTCCTCTGGGTACTTGCTCCTACAGACCAAAGACATGCATTTATAAAGTTTGGGTTTTTTGTTCTACACAGGATATAAAATGCTTTTTTAAACCTGTAGGATATACTTCTATCATGCATGTTATATTTTTCCCATGTATGGACAAAATTTAACAATGGTATAACTTCAATTGCAGCTCAGTGTGTAGCAGTGCCGCAATCAACACCTCTGGTTTATGCTACCAGAGCACTTAAATACCACCCTAATTCTTGCAACGAATACAGCAAGCCAAGCCAAAAAGTACATCAAGCCTTTATGTTCACTACAATAACGAGCAGATGTGCCTGCTTCCGAGCAGTTGAGACCGTCATACACGTCTGCTGTGTGTAGGTGTCACTGCAGTCACATGCTGCTTATAGCAGATGGCAAACAACTGGCTCGTTCGTGGGTGGGGCGAGACAACTGCTGGCATGTCATATTGTAAGATGTGGATTATAGTCTTTAGAAAATTCGGTGCTCATTGATCAAAGGTGTTTAAATTCTGTTTCGTGTTTAAAATTGCCATCAGGTGAATTAGCCATCATTGAACAAAGATGGGAAAGTGTATTTTTATAGCTGTAAAAAACAACAAAAGACAAAAAAAAAAAGAAGCAGTTTTACCACGTAGAGGTAAAAGGTTGGTTGGTATTGGTGAGTGAGGCTATGCTTTTCTGTTTCTGAAGTGGGGTGTGCCTGAGTAAGAAGTAGAAAACTCTGGTCCTGTTAGCTCTAAAGGGCTTAAAGTGAGATTAAAAGTTCAAAATAATGGGCTATGGAGAGGAGCAGCACAGTGGTGCAGCTGTTAGCCTCAAGATGGTCCCAGCTTGGGCCTTTTGGTGAAAAGTTTTCATGTTCTATGCATAAATGCAGGAGTTCTTCCTTTTAAAAGGAAGTTTTTTTCTTCCTACTGTCACCAAGCACTTGCTCATAAGGGGTCATATACTGTAATAACTGTAGGGTCTTTACTTTACAAAATAAAGTGTCTTCAGACGACTGTTGCTGTGAATTGGCGATGTTTAAATAGAAAATAATTTAATTGAATTCCTCACACAGTCCATAGAAGACATGGATGTTAGGTTAACTGGTAAATCTAAATTGGCTGCAGGTGTGAATGTGAGTGTGTCAGTCTCTCTGTGTTAGTCCCATGGCAGACTGGCTACCTGTCCAGGGTGTACCCCACCTGGGATAGGCTCGAGCCTGACTGTAACTCTGAATTGGATAAGTGGAAGAAAATGGGTGGATGATGGAGAGTTGGGGAGGGAGGTACTTTTCCAAAGCAGTCCACCCGTCTTTGCATTATGCAGTGTGGGCACACTTTAAGTCCAGTTTATATTCTATCGTTCATTTTCTTCCTCTGTAGGTATATCATGATAGTGAAGAGGGACAAAGATACATCCAGTTCTATAAGCTGAACAAGTTTCCCTACATTTCGATCCTTGATCCACGCACAGGTGAGTGTTTGTGGAAGGCTGATTGATGATGAGGGTTTGCTGATGTACGAACACACTCACACCATTAAGTTGTTTCCAGCTGATCAAGAAAACAAACAAATAAGTGACTTACTGGCAAGATTAAAGATCAGCTCTCACTCTGAGAGGCTTACAAAAGCAGTTGTTATTATAAATGCACAGGAAGATGATGTCTGCATGCATAATTTTGTAAGACGTTAAAAGTGTTATGAAAAATAATTTAAATGTCAGTAGTCTTCAAGAAGCTTGAATAACAGTGTTTATATCAGGAAATGGGATTGAAGAAATACTAAAGCGACACAATTGGATATTATGTCACAATAAACTGTAAATCTGCAGTGTTGATCCAAACTGATGTGTGCGTCTCTCTCTCTCTTTTCTTATAATTAAATACTTAATTATTTCCTGCTTTTGGTGGCTGTTATTATTGACCGGTTCTGTTCAAACCATGTTCACATTAGGTCAAAAAATGGTGGAGTGGAACCAGCTGGATGTGGCGTCGTTCCTGGAGCAGGCAACTGGCTTCCTGGCAGAGCACGGGCAGCTCGACGGGCCGTCCTGCCACGCACCTCCTGCCAAACGAGCTCGCTCTGTGGGTCTCTCATCTCATGTGTCACCTCTAATTCCCTCTATGTTTTTGCTCTAATAAGAGCTCCTCGCTCCTGCTGTGGCTTTGTTGGAATTTCCTCAGTCACACCTCTGATCAGTTTTAGAGGCATCTGGGATGTTTGTTAGGATTTTGCATCAGAGCTTCAGGGTTTGGATAAATGTCATGCTATGATCAGTATCAGCATATTTTAGTGCTGTGATATTTGATGTTGTCAGTGTCACGCAGCCATCCATATTGTTAAAAGTCTTTGTGTTGCTTTACTCAGATCTTTGTTACTTTTTTTAAAACAATTGTACACTATTTTATCTTTTAGGAAAGTTTAATCGATGCCAGTGAAGACAGTCAGTTGGAGGCAGCAATCCGAGCTTCTCTACAAGAGACCCACTACGAGTCCTCAAATGTCCCCGAACCCCCCGATTCTCCTCGATCAGACGATGAATCGGACGCAGAGCCTTTCTCTGACAGCGAAGGGCCTTTCTCTGTTGACGGCTCAGACAGTGAGACGCCAGCACCCCATGAAGAGAAAAGTTCGACCGGCAAACACACTGCGACCCCCTCTGCAGCCACTGCAGCCACTGCAGCCCAGCAGCGTCTTCATCCTGATAGCTCCACTTCTTCCTACAGAAAATCACCATACAAAGAAAACAACCACAGTCACAAGAAAGAGGAGAGCAAAAAGAACCACCTGGAGCCCTCGGCTCCCGGGCCTCGTCATCCCCAGCCTGATTCAGACTCTGGTGGGAATCACTGCGCCCCACTACCTGAAAGCGCAGGAACTTCAAAGATCAGCACCACCACAACCTGCGATGTGGACTGTCCTGAGGACAATGGTACGACAAATGAAAAGTATTTTAGGTTTCATGAGTGTGCGTGTGTGTGTGTGTCTATATGTCTGTTTTCGATGCAACCATAATAAGGTGAGCAGCAAGTTTGCTTTAAAAAAACAAAAGTCTAAAGGCCTTTGCGGACGTGCAAAGTCTTTCCGAATATTTTGTGCACTAAAAGTTAATTTTAGGGCTCATCTATTCTTCAGTGTCAACTTATTTCACTGCATGAATTTGTGATTTTTATTCACATTTGGAAAAATAAACAGATCTGCCCAGACAGACTACTGCACTGTAGTTCAAAGTGCATCAATACTGAATATACAATGATATGGAAATTGTAAAATAATGCTGTTTAGCCACAGACACGGCGCTAGACACTGCTCCGGGTCAATCAGCTCTCTGAAATTATTTCTCCTTCTCCTCAGTTGTGGTTCCAACTCTTTCAAAAACAGCTCAAACTGTCCTGCTGACATCCTGAAATATATACAGAAGCAGTCGTGGTGCTGCTTCAGCTCCTTGATCAAACCATGAAATTGTCCCTACTACTGTCTTCTCATTATGAATTTGATGATGTTCGTGTTTAGAAACATCAGGACCATCATCATCATCGCTTGATGTTGATGTCATCTTTTTCACGTCACTTTTTTTTTCCAGGCGAATTTTCTGCAAACTGCACTGCTTTCGGTGTGCATCTGCGTTACACCACAAGTTTGGATCCAAAAAATTTGCTTTTTTTCAACGTGCTCAGGGTATTAAAGCCTTAAGGTGTCTTAAGAGCCCACTTATGCCAACACATAAGTGGGTGCTGCTGGACTGACTCCTTTTAGATCAATGATGGCCGTGAAGTCAGTCCTAGTCAGCTGAATGTAGACAGACCCTTAATCCTACTGTACTATGTGGTCCCTTTGGCTGGATTTGGCATTAGTTTTATTGCTGGAGTGTGTGTGACGATTTCAATCGAAATGTGTACCATATATGACCAGTGAAGACTGGTACTAAGCACTAGATTTTCTGACGGTTTCTACAGTCACATCCCTTGCAGAATGTGGTGGTTGTGTTGTTTTTACTTGGTGATAAGTATGTTAGTGGTTTCACTCGTCTTGTCTAAGGACAGTCTGGTGTAATATCTGTGTGCAGGTACCTTCTAGTGGTTGTAGTTCTGGAGCATAGACAGAAAAAGCAATGAATGTAGCTTCTGTGACATCACCTATTGTTTAGTAAAGTCCTGTCATAAAACCTCAAGCCGAGCATTTTTCCCCGTTGCCACCCTCACCGCCACTCCACTAGTCCGTATACTGACGTCTCTACTGACAGCTTAATAGTTTGAAAGCGGAGCGTGACAAGTCTGCTATAGAACTGAGTCGGAGGAGTCGCCCTCTGCTGACCATTAAATAGAAAGCAAGTTTAAGGCAATTTATATTGGCTTCGCTTTTCAGAAGCTCTAGGCCCGCCTCCTCCATACTGTCTATGGAAGTATCTTTTAGAGTAGCGATTCCTCTCAGCTGGGCACACAGTCGTAGCTGTTAATTCAAAGATCAATCCATTGTTTATCTATGTGATGTGTGTTTTTTATGCTTTTTGACCAGTGTGTTCTGGCATTTTTAAGTATAGTGGCTTTTCAGTTCTGACAGCATCATCTTAGAAACTGTTTTGTTTTTAATAGGTCCCAAAGCCAGGTTGATGCTCCGCTACCCTGATGGACAGAGAGAGCAAATTTCATTGTCTTCTAAAGCAAAACTTTTGGTGAGTGAACCCCAAAATCGCTGATATTCAAGTAAAATAAACAGTAGTACATGTTTATAATGCCTAATAAACATGGCAACATGTTTTTAAAATCTTTTTTTCCCCTACCTTCCAAATTATACTCTCTCTTTAAGGCCCTGGTAAGACACGTCCAGTCTAAGGGTTATCCTAACGAACGCTTCGAACTCGTCACCAACTTCCCCAGAAGGAAGCTCGCCCACTTGGACTATGACATCACGCTGCAGGAGGCAGGGCTGTGTCCACAGGAGACTGTATTTGTGCAGGAGAGGAACTAGCCTTCCAGACACACTCACTTTTCGCTTGTCTGTATCTCTGGTAGACCTCACCCTTTCACCAATGATGTGGGATGATGTTACTGGCCTTGATCCCATAACCTTTTGTTCTGGAGGTGGCCCTGGTTTTTGCCAAGACAGATAAGGGTGGATGGGCTACTTTCACCGCCACTCCACTAGTCCGAATACTGACGTCTCTACTGACAGCCTAATACCTTTGTAGTGCTCTACAATTGGCCAGTAAGGTTTAATGGATGCCAGCAGTCTTTAATGTTTTTAATAAACTATATACTCTGCTCTGAGGCAAGCCTCATTTAGCTTTCAACACTGAGGCATATCAGAACAGAATATATATCATATAGCTCGTCTTCAATTAAAAAATGAAAAAAGAAGAAAAAAACACAAATAATAGATCACTAATTGATGATGGGCCACAAGGGACTTGTACAAAGAGACTTTTACCTCTCAGAAAGGACATTAAATCAGTCAGAGTTTATTTTCTAGCTCTTCTTGTTATTTTCTCTACCTGGGACAGGTAAAGGGAGGCTCATTCTTGTTTATTTTGACCCAAATTTGGTCTCTCACTCGGTCATTGTTGAAACAGTTGTAATCATTTGGAAGGCAGGGGCGCTAAGAGGCCAGGTCCAAAAATTACAAAGTTGTGAAAATGTGTCTTTTGATACTGAAGGGAATGAATAAAAGGTGGTACATCTCATCAGTCACACCTACACTGTACAGAGATGTCTTAGAGAGACTGATATTTCGATGTAGTCATTGTTTCCTTTCTTTTTTTTATATGCTGCCAAGAAAATATGCTGATGTTGAAATATAACCACCAGAAAACAAAAAGAGAGGTTCTGCTTCATCTTTTTTTTTTTTATTATTATTATTTTGAATCGTTTGTGTGGCTTTAATTTAAAGTTAAAACCCCAAACACTTGAACAGCTAACAGAGTAAATAACTTCAGATTCAGCTGGAACTACTGAGAACACAAATGTGTAGTGTACCTCACTTTAAAGATTAAGCATTTTTAGTGTGTCCATACTACGTTTTGACATGTTTTATTCCTGGAGCCTCGGTGAAACCAGTAAGAGTATTTTACATCTTATGTGTAATGTACACTTCTCAAAAAAATGACAGGAACACTTGATCATCACAGTATAACACAGATGGTTAAACTTCAGGGGTTTTCAGTTGGTAACCACAGCTCCCAATGGGGATCCATTCCACCTGGTTTGGTCCAAATGAAGTGACAACAGCTGCACTGGAGAGGCAACTCCCCCCTGCGCAGGGAAGGCCACAGACTATTGCTCCTGACTGATTTCCCTCTAGTTCTCCTTTTTGGAAGTGCCCTTGCCAACAGTGGCAGCATGAAATGATACCAGTTAGTCCAGCTCTTCTGTGATACCATATGCAAACAGGCAGTTCAAGGTTTTCTGTCTCTTAGTACAGCCTTGAAGGTGTAGATGGGTTATTGCACAAGGAGAACTAGACAGAGCCACAGAGGGGGCATCAGCTCAGCAGCAGGACATCAGCTAAACCCAAGACTGGTTCTTGATGCGAGAAGGAACTGGAGGAGCACTGCCAAAGCCCTACAAAATGACTTTCACTGGAATACTTGAGCATGTTTCTGATAGAAACACTACCTGAGGGTGGCATGAATGCCCAGCAGATTTTAGTAGGACGTGTGCTCACAGTACAGCACCGAGCAGCTCAATTGGTGATGGCCTGACAACACCAGAGCTTGCAGGTTAGCCACTGGTGCCGTGTTCTCTTCACAGATGAGAGCAGACCACCTTTAAACAACATGAAAGAGTCTGAAGACGTTGTGGTGAATGTTTTCTGCAACATTATCTAGTATGACAGGTTGGGCAGTGGTGGTCTCAAGTGGGATTTCCTTGCATAGAGACCTCCATGTTTTAGCCAACAGCTGTTGGGTATAGAGATGAAAACCTCAGATTCACTTTACATCTTTTGCTGGTGCACAGTGATGCCTTGCCTCGTCTGGGCAGTGTGTAGCCATAGTGGTAAAGGCATAGGTATCATGGACCTAGAACAATATTTATGAGTCCCACAGATTATCTAGTACCTCACTTATGCTCTGATCCAGGATCTGGGAGAAGATGAACCAGGGCATCATCCACTGTCTTACCAGGAGCGTACCCAGATGTCTGAAGTGTATGGAGGCACATTGAGGCTGTAAACATTACTGAGCCAGATTAGTCTGATCACTCTGATTTAAATTTATAACTTTTTTGGTGTGATTTGATGATTTTGGTTTCCACTGACCTTTGTTACATAATTTTGTTCTCAGCAAATTACACTGTGTATCAGTAAAGACTTTCAGCCTGAATATTTTGTAATCAAGACCCAATGTGTGATTTAAGTGTTCCTGTAATTTTTTAAAATTTTATTTTATTTTTTTGGAGCGGTGTATTTAGATTTTTTTTTTTTTTGTGCTGAGGCTGTTAAAGACTTTTCTGTGTGTCTGTTCAGACTGAGCAGGTTTGTGTTTCTTAATATGGACAGATGGTGGTGATAACGTACCTTAAATACCAACAAGTCCCTGAACGCAGGTGAAAAGACCACTAAGACCAAAAAGACACTGACACCAATATTTTATAAGCAGTGTTTTAAGTTTTAACTGTTCAGATTAAAAAAAAAAAAAGTTTTAGGAAGTATCTTGATGCATTCTCAATCATCAAGGTAAGTAAATCTCCAAAAGTTGATTCTGTTCATCTGGACGTAGCGTTTCGTCACTTGGAGTCATGCACGTGTTAACTGGTGCAGGGGTTTCTGTGGTGGAGTATGAGCTGTTCCCTTCACAGAGATTTTTCTGTGTTTAGGTTTTTCACTCAGGCGTCCAGTCCTGGAAGAAAAGAGGTGATGTTTCTTAAAAATGTTACAGTCATCTATGTCAGTAGTAACAATCATAAGGCCTTGGGACTAGAAGCAGCCCAGCAAAGATCCACTATCTGGTCCACTGGAAGACGTTGGAAAATATGAAGGAGGGCATGAATTTTGGACTTTTAGATGGATTTATTAGATTTAGATTTCATTCATTTTTCTAAATGATAAAGTCTCCATGGCCATTCATAAAACGCCAAAGTAATTAAGAGACAGATAAACAATTAAATGACAGAAAAGTTCCATCAGCTGTTAAAAAAAATTGTTGTTTTTTAAAGTGTGTTTACAAAAAAACAACAAAAAAGCATTTTCTTTGAATTGACAAAAGCTTTGTTTTGTAATTAGAGCACAGTCTGAGCTACCAGACGTTGTCTAATTTTGCATATTTATTTCTTGCAGTTTAAGCCCAAACAACATTTCTTTAACATAAAGAAAAACTAAGATATACTGTTGAAATTACATGGCTGCTTTTATTAAGACATCACAGCCAAGTGTGTAGTTAAACTTCTTTTTATTAACTGAAATGGGAGTTTCACTGGTCCGTATAAAAAATGAGCTGTATGTGCTGCAAATTGAATGTTGGCTTCAAATTTTGTCCAATCAATCAAAACATCTTTCTTGACAAATAAGAAATCTCACAGTTAATACAAGACTTGATGCTCCTGCATCACTGGCATCAACTCTTTGTGTGACAGGCATTATTTCCAGTTTGATGGGTTGACATATTGTTTGTCACACCCACCTAGAAGCAGTTGTCTGGTCTTTTTAAACTAATGTGTGACCACTGCTGTGACTCATAGATCAGAATGAGATCTTTCCAAAAGAAAAATCCCTGGACAACACCTTAAAATTGTTATTAACAGTGCCTGCTGTGGGGGGGCAATGGTCAGAAGTGAAAGAGTACAGTGTGCAGCTGTGCAAACAGATGAGGAGTCTTGAGTCTGTTTCACTCCCCTCGCTGTGTGGATAATACAGTATGAGACAATCATTCTTTCACCCCCTGCTTTTTGTGTAAAGGACAACGGTGAATAAACACAGGAGGGGGAAGGGAAATTTTATCGCTGACTAAAACAGAACAGCTAAACCCATTTCCCCCCACGGAAAATCGTTAAGCCCATCAGAAGTTTCGCAAGTCTGAGATTACTGTGTGTTCCAAAGTCACATCTTCAGAGCAGGAAACTCTTTAAAACTGATGCATTTTCTTTTTCACTTGGTCAGTCAGTCAGAGAAATTGTGTTTTTCCCCTGCTGAATTTCTGGTACCTCCAAATAAAGAAGGAGCAACAGTTTAAAAGCCCACATCGAGTAGCAATGACCTAAATTAATTTCACACTGAAGCCGAGTTGATTAATCGGTGCTGAAATTTTAATGACACAGCAAGACGGCAGCCCTCAGGCTTTGTTTGTTCAAAGGGTTTGTCTGTTGCATAAAAGGCCGGTGACCCCAGTTGTCTGATTACCTCTTAGCTCATTCTCAGAACGAATCAATAACAGTTAATAAACAGTGAGCCATTTTTGGGTTGAGTTTAGACATAAAGTTCAGTTTGGACATCACACGAACCAGTACTCAGACTGGGATTTTAGTCTTCTGTGTCTCCTGGGGAGCTTTTTTAGAGTTTGAAAACTTTATAGGAGCTCCATCGAAGATGCTGTTGGTGTTGACCTTTGACTTGTTCCTTAGGAGTCCCAATTTTATGACCTCCATGGAGTACCCACTTATATTTATGCATATTTGGAGACTTTTTGGACTCTTGCAGGTTTTGCACATTGTCTTTTGTACTCTTAATGAAATGGATTTAACTCAATCAACAAAAAGTTACAAGTTACTACAACTTGACTGAAATCCATTAAGTATTGCTCATAACAGGAAGAGATGCAAATCAGCTCATATAAGATCCTTGCATGTAATTGTGTATCCCAGAATGAAAACCTAGCATGGAGGTTCAGTGGCTTTTCTGTAGACCTGCAATAGATTGTGTAAAAACACACATCCTGGGGAAAGTATATGAATATCTGAAAATGCCCAGGAGCAAAAAGGAGCAAAAAGAAGCAAGGTACCACCATAAATCTTTCAATAACTGGCCACCAGTTTCCCAAAACACACCTGAGTAACTCACTTCAGCATGATCCTCCAGTCTTCCTATCATTTCTCTACAGGTTAACCATGACATCATCTGCCCTCAGACTTGAGTGAAATCCAGATCTTTTGCCAAGTATATCATGAAATGATGAGGGAACAGGCCTCAACATGCCATAAAAGTGCCTGTGAGCCTTAAAATCACTTATGAGCCTCTGAAAACGGGGATCTGTTTAGAAAAATCGCTGAAATTCCTGAACTTTTTTTTAACATCTTGATTGTTTATTTAAACTCCAGTGTGGTGACATTGCCCAAAAACTCCTGGAGTTGACTGCATGACTGGAATAATTCAGAATGACGGCTGTTCAGGTCTCAGAGAAGCAGCTCTGAATATGTCTCCTTCCACTTTAATGTCGATCTCTACTGAAGGTGCAATTAAAGTCACCATTTCTATCAGTGACGTAATAACAGTATAACTGAGGAGCCCGGTGTCTCTGATTCCTGATGGAGGATTTGGATGTTTTTCTGCAAACTGACACTTTCTGAAAGTGTACTCATGTGTGGGCATCAAGATGAATCACTCCTGGCTCATGTGTCACAGTTAACTCCAGTGTTGCCTCTCACTCAAACGCCTGCCTTGAACACGCCTTCACATCTTACAGTAGCACACAGCATTTCACCTGCACCTGAAGGGGTTATTGCATGCACAGTGGAACAAAACCTTAAAAACAAAGATGACCATAAAAAAAGAAAACAAAGCATCTGCTCTTGAAGCTCACCCGTTTATGCAGACTACAGTACTTTGTTATTCCCCAGCTCTGTGTACTCTAGGAGAACAGCCATGGATGATAAGCTTATCTCCTCTGA